CCTGACTTAATTTACTTTAGTACATTTATTGCAACTGTTTGAGCTGCAATATATGCATCTTAAAGAAGAAGTAAGGGTATACTATACTTGCCCACTGCTTAGAGCTTGGGTAGGACACTAGCTGTCACACGCCGAGTCTAACATTGAGAGCGAAGCTCATGTGACTGCTGTTTGCTCAGCTCCCTGCATAGACTGTCAGTCACCGCCCCTGCAGGGATTCCCCCCTCCCCTCTTTATGTTCCTTCAGCACTCATTGGAGGGACATACAGTGCAGGGGACGGGCATAGCTGGCTCTAGAAAGGCGGAGTCAGCTGTCACTTACATCCAGCATTTGTTGGGATCCTTCATGACTATAACATTAAGCGCCTAAATACCGGATACCTATAGCTGCTGCACTTTATATGTTATGAAGAGGCTTAGACGATTGTGCTGGGCACTGGTATTATAGATGAATTATCATAGAGCCCAGCTTTTGTAATAAAACTCTTGTCACCTTTACTCACAAACACACCCTGTATCCTTTTCCACGTGTGCTAAAATAAACCATAAAAGGAATTCTACACGAAAAAAGCTTCTACAAAAAATATGATGCATCCAACAAATAAATAACTGATATAATCCTCTCTTCTGTGCAGTTGTGTATTCTCTTTACTCACTTTTCACTGTGCAATGTATGCATGCCTGGGGGACTGTAACTGGTTCCATAGCAAGTTTAGAGTTTAAGAACGGGCAACTTCTACCATAAGGGTGTTTTATATCATTTTATGGAGACATAATTCTAGTTCTGATTTAAGGTGACATTAAAGGCAAACATTTTCCCCCCTCCCCCCAATGTTAATGTCAGCACTAACCTTAAATGATGTCTCTTAATCCGATCTTCTTCTTCTTTCCCCATGTTTTCATCTGTCCCTCCAGCGGTGCGCGGCTCTCCGATCCAGCGCTGACTCTCTGCTAGCAGGCACTTCTGATCCCGCGGTGTCTGCATGCGGGTGCACGCGTCCATAGACTTACCTTGCGTCTCTGCTCATCTCCCGTCCGAGAATCCAAACTGCGCATGCGCCCGCCCCAAGATACTTTGGGCCGCCCGATCAGTTTCGTTTTCTCGGACGGGAGCGCGCGGAGAAAACAATGTAAGTTTAAACCGCTGTTAAAGCGGTTTTTTTTTTAAACTGTTTGCCTATATCTACTGCTTGTCAGCAGTAGATATAGGCAAAAAAACGGGAGTGTTTAGAACCCCTTTAATGTGTCCAGGGTAATATGTGTGCACCACACACTTAGATGGATGGACATATTGATACATATAGAATAGATTGTTTATATTATCATCATTTATTTTCATTATTTATATATATATAATTTTTGTAATAATTTTTTGTATTTCTTTTATTTCACTTCCATTTTCTGATCATTTGAAGGACTACTGTTTCTAGATATTTTTGGTGCTGCCCCACAGTCCAATGGAGGTTCATGTTGGCACAATCCCTCTTTAACATACATCTCTACTTACAGGTTAAACGACGCTGCGAAGAAAGCTTTCGAAGACCTCGGCAGTAAAGAAATCCGTAACGTACGATTCCGATCCGGGTTTGTTTTCTTGGCTGTTAAAGGTGCCACCATCCCGGACTATATTGAAAGAGAGAAGGTGAGCCCTTTATTATTCTTTATCTTCATTTGTTACAAGCTTTTTTTTTTTTCTTTTTTAAATGAATATTTCATTGACGGTCCTAAGAAAAAATGATTTTATAGCCGTTATTGTTTTTTCAAGGTGCAGGCACCTACAGATGTGTGCACCTGCCTGCAGCAGCATTCAATGCCTGAGTACTGAACAGGCAAAGCTTGCTCAGTATTTTGCCTGCCTCCTCCCACCCTCCATATATTCCTACTGGGCAATGAGGCAGACCTGCATAGTAATGGACCAATAGGAATGTGTTCTGATGTGTTGGAGCTTTGCCAGTTCAGAACTGCTCGGGGTTCAGGTGTAGATGGGCAATGCACACGCTAGTCACTATAAAGCTATTTTTCAGTATAAGGCCATATTGTGCAGATGGCAGTATGTAGGTGGACGGCAGGTTTCTACACATGGTTTGCTTGTTGCAGTTAGCGGGAGTCGCTGTGCAATAACAGTATCGTGGGCCAGGCCAGTCCAAGCCATATTGATATTAAGTGGAGCCTGGAGGGCTCATGCATGTCTGGGATTCTCTTCCATAGTGCTTGACTCTTATACAATGACCATTTAGGCTTTCCAAATGGGGCTGCAGCTAACGATTATTTTCATAATCGATTAGTTGCCTGATTATTTTTTCGATTAATCGATTTAGTTGCATTAAAAAATATTTCTCTCTCTCCACTCCCTCCCTCCCTCTTTCTTTTCTTTCTTTCTTTTTCCCCCAACTATTCTCATAATCGATTAGTTGGTTGCAGCCTTATTGCAAAGACATTTGGTGCACAGAAAGTCAATTTTTATGAATATATTTAGAATAAAGTAGTATTAAACTTAAACATATTTTCAATAATGTATTGAAACCAAACTAATATACATCACCCAGAAAAGTATTTCTTGACATTTTTGCTCCAGTGCTCACAGTCACCACGTTTTCAGCTCCAACTCTCTCAGCTCCCCTTCCCTGAACTTTCTCTCCAGTACAAGATCACAAGAGACAGAGCAGTCTCCTGCAGCTGTCCATCTACTGGTTTGGAGGAGGAGGGAGCAGAGGAGTGACTTTCCTTGCTGTGTCTGTATGATTGTAGAGACGCACAGCTTACTGGCACACACAAGGGTGGCTCCATAAGACCGTACAAGGGAATGGGGCCACCCTAACACAGGATATCAGGGCCAGTGCTCAGGGGACCAGCTGATTCTGCAGGAAACTAAAACGTAAACATCAAGGAACAGCATCCATTGTAAGCAATTAATCAGAATTTGAAATAGCTTTAAAACATTTTGAGGGGAATTTATCAAAATTGGAGCAGACAAGATCTGGAGCAGCTGTGCATGGCAACCAATCGGCTTCCATCTTTCATTTTCCATTCTTAACAGACTGAAGAGAGAAGCTGATTGGTTGTCATGCACAGCTGCCCCAGATTCTGTCTGCTCAAGTTTTGATAAATTCCCTCCATTGACTTGACTTTAACATCCCCGGGATCTCTCCTCCTGTCCGCAGTCCCGCGCCTCTGCACTGTGTTGATGTCGCTCTCCTTCCGCTACATATAACCGTTGTTTCTGGTTTCTCCTGTGCAGATCATCCATTCAGAAGACACCAGGAACAGATACAGCGGCTGGCCGGCAGAAATCCAGATCGACGGTTGTTTGCCCAGAAAATAAAGCGCAATTCTTCTACAGCTTCTCTATCCGTTTAAGTCGAATGAACTGCAGCAAGGAAGATGGCGGCAGCTACTAGTCCAGTGGGTGCCGACCATCCACGGAGCGGCGAGAGGAAATTCCAATGATGAAGAAGCCCGTGCCTAGAAATCCTCTTTATTTTTGTACAATATTGGAACTCCAGAAACGTCTTATTGAGGCCTCTGTACAGAAGACTTTATTTGTATATTTGGTGAAAGTGTCTTTTACTACTGACTGTAGATATTATCAATCAGCTGCTGCAATCCTCCTGTGGACAGTCACGGTGTTGCCTTATCCAGTATCCGTTGCACTAACTTGTGTTGGCTTACACTGGACCGTTAAAGCATCCGGTCACTTTAAAGATGAAGTTTAATTTGCTTCTATTTTCCTTCCCTGGTTCCTTTTTACTCGCTCAGCAACATGCTAATGACATTTTTAAATAAAACCTTTCCTCACATTTGCCTCGCGTAGCTTATTTTAGGCCCAGTGGTGTCATCATTGGTTCTCTGTGCTTCTCTATAAAATGCAGGCAGATCGTGGCTGGTGGGAGGGGCCAGCAGGGTGCTGTGCATTGCTTCCTGAAAACATCACAGCTAGGGATGCACTGATACCGGTTTTACGGTATCGAGTATGAGTACCGATATTTTGCTTTCAGTGCTCACCAAAACTGAGCTTCCCCTGGCATGGAGCCGGTTTCCCGGGCAATCGGGAAGCAAGACAGCAGGTAATGACATCCTGCCCGGCTTCCTGATTGCCCTGGAAGTCGGCTCCATGTTGTTTGGCCAGCTTGATTGTGATTGACCGGGAAATCGCCTTTCCAGCCAATCAGCATCGAGCCAGTTTGCCGGCCAAGCAGAAAGCCGGGCGGCAAGTAATGACCCGCCTTCCTGATTGGCCAGGAAACCAGCTCCATGGTGACTGGCTTCCCAGCCAATCAGCAAGTAGACGGTTATTCAGCCAGCTCATTGCTGACTGGCCGGGAAGCCGGCTTCCCAGCCAGCTGTTCGGCATGCTCGATGCTGATTGGTCCAAGAAGGCGGCTTCCCAGCCAATCGGCAACGAGCCAGCTGTTCGGGATGCTCGATGCTGATTGGCCCGAGAAGCCGGCTTCCCAGCCAATCGGCAAGGAGCTGGCTGTTTGACCGGCTCGATGCTGATTGGCCGGGAAGCCTGCTTCCAAGCCAATCAGGAAGCCAGGAGGTGGGTCATTACTGGTCACCCGGCTTCCGTTTCCCCTATGGCACTGCTGGTCAGAGGAAATCTTCCTCTGATCGGAATTTCCGGTATCAGGGTAAGTATCGGAGCATTTGGGTGAATAGAAGTACTCGCCCAAATACTCGGTATTGGCACCGATCCTGATACTAGTATTGTTGCATCTCTAATCACAGCATCCTGCCTTAGTACTCCTCTCAAGTGCCCTCAGCCCTGATGCAAGCAGTGGGCTGGCTCTTGGGAGGATTATGCAAATGATCAAATGCCCTGATGGGTGTATTAATCTGGAGGGATGGGCCAGGTGTATTGTCATACCAATATTTTATTATACACAGACAGTAACATACAAAGGACGTGATCAGTTTACACATTTCAGCGGCAGGAGGACTTCAGTCATAGCTCATACATGTAATCCATGAATTTGTATGCAGACTAACCAAATTAATGCCCGCATGCTGATCCTCTGTAAATGCAAAAACTGAAATGCAGTGGCCAGGGACAGTGACGCTGGGGGGTAATGAGGGCTAGATGATGCTGGACATCCTCCAGCCAGGAAACGAGGCGGGCTCCATCTGACTTGCTGCAGCTTCTGATGCACATTGTGGGAAGCTCCCAGTGTGCAGTGATATCGGAGTAAGGTATTTCAGTCCAGGAGAGGAGCCGGTACCACTGTACAAGACTGATTGATGTTAAACTTTGACCTTTAGTGTATTTAAAATTTAAAAAACTGAAATTGGAAAAACATGTAACTGCAGCGCGTTCATTTCAGCCACACCGGAGGCTCATACACCATGAACTGTGATTGAAATCGGCCATTTTGTGACAGATAATTAAAAGCTGATACATTATATGACCAATATGTGGACTCTCCTCCATCTGATGGAGGTCAGGTGATCTCAGTGACGGGTCCTGATAATGATACAACATACAAAGACATTTAAGACACTTGTGCGCTTCCAACCATGTGGTAACTGTTTGGGGAAGGCCCTTTTCCTCTTCCAGCATGTCTGTTCCCCTGCGTACAAAGCCACCTCTATATGGACATGGGTTGACCAGTTTGGTGCAGAGGAAGTTAAGTGGCCTGCACAGAGCACTGACCTCAACCCTACTGATCACCTTTGGGATGACGTGAAGCCATGTCTTCTCATCCAACATTAATACATGACAGCTCAAATGCTTTCTTAGCAAAACGGGCCCAAATTCTCGCCGTCACCCCCCAAAATATTATGGAAAGCCTTCCCAGAAGAGTAGAAGCTGATATAGCCGCCAAGTGGGGGAGCAACTCTTAGGGCTTGTTCACACCAAGCGTGGAGCAGGTGCAGAGCAGAGCAGGTGCAGACCGGATGAAAACTGCGTCCAATGTATTCCTATGGTATTTTTAGCTCAAGTTCACATCGCAGCGTGCAGATCCAGAGCAGGTGAAAAAACTGCAGCATGCCCTATTTTACCTGCTCTGGATCTGCAAACACATCAAAAATGCATGCAGATACCTGGAACGCACTGAAAGCCCATGTTAAACAAGCCAAAAACGCATCTAAAAGACTAGCGTGCGTGTGCAGAAACCTGACCGGATCTGCTCTGCATTTGGTGTGAACAAGGCCTTAATGTCCATAGTTTTGGAATGGGATCCCCGACGAGCTTTGGAATGGGATGCCCAACGAGCTTTGGAATGGAATGCCAAACATGCTTTGGAATGGGATGTACAACAAGCTTTGGAATGGGATGCCCAATGAGCTTTGGAATGGGATGCCCAATGAGCTTTGGAACGGGATGTCCACAAGCTTTGGAAAGGGATGCCCAATGAGCTTTGGAATGGGATGCCCAATGAGCTTTGGAATGGGATGCCCGATGAGCTATGGAATGGGATGCCCAATGAGCTTTGGAATGGGATGCCCAATGAGCTTTGGAATGGGATGCCCACAAGCTTTGGAATGGGCTGTCCAAAGACCTTTGGAATGGGTGCATCGAGCTTTGGAATGGAATGCCAAACATGCTTTGGAATGGGATGTACAACAAGCTTTGGAATGGGATGCCCAATGAGCTTTGGAATGGGATGCCCAATGAGCTTTGGAACGGGATGTCCACAAGCTTTGGAAAGGGATGCCCAATGAGCTTTGGAATGGGATGCCCAATGAGCTTTGGAATGGGATGTCCAATGAGCTTTGGAATGGGAGGCCCGATGAGCTATGGAATGGGATGCCCAATGAGCTTTGGAATGGGATGCCCAATGAGCTTTGGAATGGGATGCCCACAAGCTTTGGAATGGGATGTCCAATGAGCTTTGGAATGGGATGCCCAATGAGCTTTGGAACGAGATGTCCACAAGCTTTGGACAGGGATGCCCAATGAGCTTTGGAACGGGATGCCCACAAGCTTTGGAATGGGATGCCCAATGAGCTTTGGAACGGGATGTCCACAAGCTTTGGAATGGGATGCCCAACAAGCTAATATAGGTGTGGTGGTCAGGTTCCCTTGTATCTGAAGGTACTTGTAGGGATGGATTTCTGTATAGCCAACACTGGCCTAGGTCAACAGAGCTGATGCCTGCTTGCCATGATGCTGATAGTTACACATGTATAATAAAAGGTTCCAGGTTGCCTCCCTGCCATCCGTGCGGGTCTTCACTGCCATCTTTGCATTTCCTGCGCTGTTCCTTGGTGACCTAGTCTATCACAAATCTACTGTTCTAGTATTCTGCTCTGCTCCCTTTATAAAAGGTAGGTAATCCACAGTGGGTCAACCCCTAATCATTTTGGAGGGGCATGGTGTTTACTGTTTTAAGATCTTCTCTGTATCAGAGGGGAAGCCCACCCATAAATCTGTCAGGAGGATACAAAGTATCTTAATATTATTTTGTAGGTTGTTTTTTTCCTTTCGGGGGGGGGGGGGTTGTACATCGAAAAAAAACCCCTGTGAACAAAAAATAAAGCGTGAAATCACACCACGTGAAAAAGTGCACGGGGGTGCTGTGGTCCTCCTCCTCCGAAGAAGCTTTGTCCTATCATCATTGCAGACAAAATAGGATTTGATGGGACTCCTTGGCAGCAGCATTGTTTTCAGGCAGCTGCTGGTGCTGCGTCTGCCTGAATACAATCTCCGGCAGCGGATATTCCTCCATCCGCGCTCTTTGGCATGGATAGGAAGTTGATTGATTTTCTCCAGCACATGGGCTGAACAAGAGATCTCAAAATCAAGCCTTTAGGCCAGGGGTAGGCAACCTCGGCACTCCATCTGTTCTGAAACTATAAATCCCATTATGCTTCTGATTCTGGAAATCAGAACTGTTAGTGTTATAACCTGTCAGCTTTCTTTTGTCAACTGTGTTCCATTGGGGGAGATTTCCCTTCACTTCCTGTCCTACCACAACAGGGTAACCAGAACAAGTGACCCCATTGGAATATTCCCCATCTATTCCTGTTTTAGTGGCACCCCAAAATTTGGGATTTTCTTGTGAATGAATGGTTACAAGTCCCATCTGCCACCACAGAAGAGGGACTCATAGATCTCAATTGGGCACAAGCGTGGTGACATCATAGTCCATTACCAGCGACGTCACTGGTTGCCAGGAGCTGGGTGGGATGCCATCCAGAGCCAAGAGTGGGGCAGGGGCAGCCTGGTTGCCAAGAGTGGGGCAGGAGGATGTGTGTGGGAGAGTGGTGGGGAAAAAAATCAGCGGTCTCCATAGGTCTGTGAACTTTTTCTGACCCACAGAATGGTGCCCCCCTTCAAGTGGTGCCCAGGGCATGTGCCATACTCTGGATATCATTGTCTGAAAGGTCACACCTGGTCGAGCGGCAAAGAGAATCGACTTTAGGGACCAGAATTGAAGAGGAAACGTCACCACCACTCAATCTACGATCAAAGATTAAAGTGATTTTATTTATCAAAAATTGCCAACATTTGGGGGTCCCTTTGCACGGTCCCTTCCTCAAGGCGGCACAGTGACAAAGGATGCATGCATGTACAGAATTGAAGTAGCCAAGTGTAACCCATAGCAACCATGTGTATTCCTTTGCCATGAGATCTGACAATATATGGATCTACCACATGTTCTTAAAGTGGATTTAAAGCCCAAAGCACCAGATTATTATACCCATACAGTGCGGCCTCCCTGCAAGGGTTAAATGCTCTTTAGGGCTAGGGGTTGAGGATTAAGCTGCAATACTTACCTAATTCCGCCCTCCAGCAGTCTTCCTGCACATCATGTGACCGGCCCACCACATTCTCTTCTCTAAGGTACTCAGGCCGGTGGTTGCATGCTAACAGCAACATATGTAATGCAGAGCCAGGGCCTGCAGGGGCAATAAATCTGCTTGAAGGTTCAATTTACATCACACAAAATTGAGGGTGACCCCATGAGAAGATCACATCAGATCTGCGACAAAATTTTGACATATACCGAAATGAGAGTGCATCACTGACCTGCAACAAATGAATGAATTAGTGCAAGCTAATTTTAATAAAATGCTGGAGAAAGGACTATTTAAGCAGGCATAAAAAATTGGCAAATTTTTGGGGATAGGTCAACCTCTTAATGTATTTATATTCTGCAACAATTTGTAATTATAGATTTTAAAAAAAGACAATTTTCTATGTATGTGAATAGGTAAAAAAAAAAAAATTCTAATGGTTCTTTGTGTCCATTGCTGTCATTAGCTTTCATAGCAATGTGATTCGGCGCCATCTAGTGTCCGTTTCTTGTAAGTGTCAGCACAATCTGGCAGATGGTATTATGTCTCCCTCTAGTGGCCGCTTATGGTTATATCCCTCAGTGTTGTCTATGGCTGCTCCCTCTGCTGGCACCTACTGCAATGCAGGCCCTCCTGGTCCCTCCTCTAATCTGAGGCCTGTTGTCTGTGTCATGCTGATCAGGAAGCAGTTTGTTGCTGCAGACTGGAGGCATGGCCACGTTTTTCGGAGAGGTTTTGTCGGTGTTCAGCCGGGCAGTGGATGATGAGGAGGAAGATGATAAAGAAGAAGAGGATGAGGAGGACAGAGAGATCAAGAGAGAGCTGGAAAAGAAAAGGTTAAATTCTATCATACACATGTGCACTTCCTTGGGAAAAGTTACAATGTTGCCTTGCTAAGATTTTGCTGTAGGTCAGTTGCATGATATGTGATTTGCAGTATTTGTGAGGTCTGGGGCTTATAATACAGG